CTAATGGGCTAATCATGTTTATATCTGATGCCTATGCTGGCAGAAGCAGCGATAAGTTTATCACCATGGACAGTGGGTTCCTAGACTATCTGAGGGCTGGTGATGAGGTCATGGCGGACCGTGGGTTCACCATTCGAGACTTGCTTGATGAGAGAAGGGTCAGTTTGAACATCCCTGCTTTCACCTACAGGCGCAATCAGTTGACCAATGACGAGACGACACGCACCAGGCGAGTAGCCAATGTCCGCATACATGTGGAAAGAGCAATCCAGAGACTGAAGGTGTTTAAGATTTTATCCCAGAATGTTCCCATCAGCATGGCACCGAAACTGGACAACATCTTAACCATCTGTGCTGGCCTAGTTAACCTGAAGAGTCCACTGATCAGTGAGGTTTAGAATCTTGCCCTGTGTCCCTGTCTACCAACACCCAGCCATGTTGTTCATTAAATACAGATAAACACAACAAATACTGCGTGGATTGTATTTTTTAATATTATATATGAATATTTTCATAGTGATGTAATTGTGTGGGCTGCTTTTGTATTTTACTTTTTAATACCTGTTAAGATTAAACACGCAATCTTTCTTGTTGAAGCCATTTGTTTAGTTTCCTCAAAACAATTAATTAATCCAGTGTTATTTATGTACAGTATGAGCTTACTATGAATTATGAACTGTGTTAAAATAAATTGTAGCACTCTAAGGATTGAAATTACATCAAACTTTATTTTCACTCAAACAGTAGGCACACTGATATATTGCACAGCATAAAGAGATCATGTAAACAATGGACATCTGTTGGCTCCTGTGGGCATGACCTAAATAAGGCAGTTTATTTTGGTTTTAAAATGCTGAGATATTTACTGCAGAACTGTAACCTTCCCTCAACAAAATCATCAACAATTTTCGGGAGCATGTGGGCAAAGTAGAATGTGCGCAGCCTTATGATATGCCCGTGGACAAAGCCTTGGTCGTAGGGTACTTCGATTTCTAGGTGCTCAGTTTTGTTCCAGATCACCAACTTGGAGTGCTGAAGCCCTGTGCAGTGCATCCCAATTTGTACCTGCATGTAGTAGCCTTTTGGACCATTGCAGGCAATATGGTAATCTACCCTATCTCCGTTTGCCACAGTTGTGATTTCGCAGTTCTTTGTTGCCAAAAATTCTGCAAGTGACTTGTTTCCCATCACAGGTGATTTGATCTCCAACAGAATGTCGTTGTTTATCACTCCATCGGGAGATGCTGCAAGCCACGGTTCCTTTTCGCACACCACTAAGCCTTTGGTTTCAATGCTGTTGCCCAGAGTTTCCAAATAGTCCCTTGCAAGTTCCTCCCCCTCCGCTCCTTGACGGGTTGCGGCATTGCCACGGAAGGATGGGTGTAAGTGTTCTGACAAAAACTTGTCAGGCGCCGTGGTTGAGCGAATGGGCACCTTTCTAGCTGTGCTCGCTGTGATGCGCACTCTCCGCGCATCATGCCAGACCTGTTCTTTGCTCTGTGCTTTTGTAGCCTTCTCAATCTCCTCAAGCTGGGCTGTGGACATGTTAATGTATTCATCATAGAAGGTTCTGCATTTTACACAAGCCAGTGGTGTGTGGTGCTCATCATGGTTTAGGAGATGGAGGTGTGGACATGGTGTTGGCTCGGTGATGGAGGAGGTATTAGCATTAAAGCAGAGCTGCAGGAGGCTATTCCCAGGGCAATTGAAAAGTGCTGCCATTGGTGAGGCAAGTGCGTTCTTCCTCCACTCTTCATGAGTCCTAAAGAGTGTCACCTCCTGTGCCGGTTCTGGAGTGGTAGAGGATGGCGGTGAAGTTGGTGGCGGCTGGTAGAGATCCTTCCTGTGGTGTCGTTGGAAGCGGACATACTTCATCTTCCTCTGACCAGCATTTCTTTTAGACCCAGCATTCCACTGGTTTTGTCCGTCTGTGCAGGCACGCCCGGTTTTCCCCTGTCTCACAGCATTTTCTACCTAGAGAGATATAGTAAAAACAGTGCATAGATATTATAATGGGTTCACTGCACACATGTCATATGATGTAACACGAATATGAAAGATATGCGTTATTATCATAATTCAATTCAATTATGAGCGCGCTTATCTAAACGGCACCTAAAAGCTGTCTCAAAGAACCAGCAAAAGTAATGATTATGAATATGTAAAATATTGCAATGAGACATTTTAATTGTTTATTCATAAACAAGTGTTCAGTTCATGCATAAGCTCCAGTTCAGGCCGGAGCCTTATGTTGTCATTATCTATTGTCTGTCTGCTATATTTATTTTTTATTTATTAAATCCAGGAATTTGGTTAATGAAAAATTTATACAAATTAAGATACAATGAATACAAAACGAAATTCGCTTTAAAGGCTTTGTTCTTTCTGTTTTGAGGTGTCTGTGAAAGTCTTTAGTGCCGCTTTCAGAGCGCTCATGTCCGTAATGGAGAACTGTCGTAGGCCTAACATTGTTTTTTCCTCATAAATGCAAACACGAAAATTAAAACACAAAATAGTTTTTTTTTTAAATAACAAATGTATGGATTTATAGCGTTTTGAAAAGAAGACATAGGCCTAGGCTACAATGGTCAAATAATTACCTTCCACAGGATCGCAGCTGAGTGGGAACAAGATCTCCCTGGTCCAGCAACACACGTACATCCCGCAGTTTTGACTTCTCCAGCTTCAGTTACCAGCACCCAAGCATTATGCCATGCATTGTTCAAACACTGGCTCTACATTTGCTTTCAGATAAACAAAACGATCATGTTTGTATGACATGACACAACCGACTTTGTTGCTGTGCAGATATTGATATGCCTCGGAGGCTTTCAGATTGTCCATTGCTTTTCCATCTACTGCCATGGATTGCACGAAGTAGGAGCAAATCTTGCTGTACGTTATGTTGGGCCACGTCGTCATGTTATCCTCCCAGTTCTGCACTGAATTCGGGTGGAGGAGAGTAGCGCCATCTCCAGTCAAAGTAGTAGAACCGTGTTCTCAAGCTAGCGTCGACATCGCTGTGTTTACACCGGCAGACGTTGTGCAAACAACTTCCGGCGGAAATGAAATGCATTTGTGTAGAGTTATGGCGCCACCCGGGATACAGCGCGTAAACTTGTGTATAACGAGATTGGAAGATCTGTGAATGCTGTTGGATGATTTGTGTATTAATTAATAAAATACTTTCCAATTGTTTCCAGGCAAAAGGAAATCTGATGAGACCCATGCAAACAAACAAACAAAGAAACGACAACGTGGTGCTGCTTCCAGAATACCTGAAACATTTGGTAGGTGGATGGTGTTTATATGGACCACAATCATTTTAACCTTTTACATTCGTGGGAATTGACCTATATGGATAGGGCTTAATTCAAATGTTCTTACAGAAGAAATATGGAAAGCATATGCATAACCATGGTAGCAGTTAAAAGGGAACAGTTAGGAGATTATGGGAAAATTATTAGACTAAAGGTGATGACACAACAGTACACCTGACACATGACTGAATTCAAACATTACACTGATTGATTTTATGTGCATTTTACATTTACTGTACTTTTTGCTGCATTTGTTGATAATCTAAAAATAATCTGGATACATTTAGTAACATGATAAGAATATCTTAGAAAATGTGGGGTAGGTGCAACATAAGACAAAAAATGTACTTTTATGACTGAAAGAAGAGTCTTCAGAGATAAGATGTTTTTTTGAGCAATGCTAGCTGTGCTGTTGATGAACTGTCGCAAGCACACTTGTAGTTGTTTTTGTTTGGAATACAGACCTTCATCCCCTGATCACACAATTACTGTTGTTTACGCGATCCGAAAACCGTCCATTATAAATCGCAATCTGGGTAAGGTCAGCATCATTTGAAAGCTTGTTCTATTGCCAACATGACTACCTAAATTATAAAATACGATCTTACAATGTTAAGCTTTCACAAGGCCATTCAGAGTAGCAGATTGTCATGAGTCATGAGTGCATTAAGATTTCTCCACAATAGAACAAACATAGGCTCATTCTGTTCAGGACAACCCAGGTTATAATGCCATGTACCCTTGTAACTGTACATCAAACAGAGTGATCATAAACGTTGACACTGTATATTACATGAGGTTTATGATATGGAGATGTGAAGAGCACGTTTGGACTCGAGGGTGTTTGGCTTGCTTGTAGGACATCACAGCGGTATTTATTATCATCCTCAACATCTCATCTTTCAAAAAACATTGTCCTCTTAATTTACAGTATTTCTCTTACTCAGACAACAATTTTTGTTGCAAAAGTTGACCAGTTAGCGGTCGGGATGGGGAAACTTCTTGTCCCACTCGGTGCTCAAGTTCAGAATGGCTGTCAGTCAAAACCCATACAGAGCTGTGAAGTGGAGACCCTGACCTCTGACATCTTGTATAGCATGTTACAGTACATCCACTTCATTCCAATTTAGGCACTTATCAGTGTCCAAATCTTCAATTTTCAACCCAGTGGAGTACTCCTTTAACTCAACACATGGCACGAGTGTAAAGGGCTACGAACTATTTTAAGATCATTTCGAAACGATTTAAGATAATTTATTGTAGACATTACTAATTGAGAATCCTACAAATATACATAACTGACAGTTCACTGTTCAGTTCACTGTTCACTGTTTACAGGTTGCACAATTGGAGAAGCTACAATTCCAGTTCACTCCAAAATCAATGTTTTTCAGATGTTTTCATACCTCAAAAGTGGTGTTATAGAGTCCAGTTCTCTGCTCTTGTAGCTCTCTCTAACAGTAGTAAATATATGGTTATTTGAGTGGAGTACTCCTTTAACTCAACACATGCTGTCAATCCGCATATAGCAAAATGTTCTCTCAGTTTATGACATAGCAGATCTGAATGCAACTGTGCATTCCTCTTGTTATTTCCCTGTAATATATTTTCCACCTTTATAAACACGTTGACGCAACAACATTATAATTGGTTGAAACCAAGACAGAGGTGAAGAAGATCATGCAACGTGTCAAAAGCAAACTTGATGATCTGCCTTCTACAAAACTCATTGACTTCCTCAGGTATGCATTTTTAAATGTGGAGAGAAAACACATGGAGAGAGACGCGTACAGGCCACCAAATTGCTTTAATTGTTTTCGTCTTTCATTTCTAACAGAAGTAAAATCCAAACGTTGGAGAAAGACAAAAAAGAGATAGTGGGTGTTTTTGGAAAGACCGGAGCTGGTAAGAGCCTCTTGATTAATACCATCTTGGATGAGACAAAATTGCTGCCCTCCGGAAACCAAGGGGCGTGCACCTCGGTCATGATTCAGGTGGAGGCCAATATGACAGACTCAGACTCAAAATACATCGCAGAGATTGAGTTCTTGACAGAGGAGGTAATAGCATCTGTTTTATCACAATGTGCAATTAATGAAAGTCTTCTTTGAAACATATCAAGGCAACCATAACTACGATCTGAATCGAGCTCTGTCATTGAACCAATATACACCTTGCATTAATTTAAAAGGAGCAACGATAAAAGAAACAACAATACAGTGTTGCTGGGATGCGTGATTTGAAGGAGGGTAAATCACAGTATACAGAGTTTATTCCGTAATCCAGCGTAACCAGTCCAGTGCGCAAAACAGGCACACTGGATCAAACATGCACACGGGGAAAATACCCCAGCAAGACAAAATACTGAGCTCAACCGAGCTACTAATCCTCACAAAGAACAATTACCCACAAGGACAAGGGGGCAGAGAAAACACTTAAACACATACTAATGAGGGGAATATGAACCAGGTGTGTGTAATTGACAAGACAAGACAAATGGAATGATGAGATATGGAGCGGCGGTGGCTAGAAGGCCGGTGACGACGAACGCCGAAGCCTGCCTGAACAAGGAGGGGAGGCAGCTTGGGAGGAAGTCGTGACAGCACCCCCCCCCCACTGAGGTGGAGATGCTTCTGTGCGCAACGCCTGCTCTATATCCGTGTACATCATCCATACTACCGGCTCCACAATGCAGGAGGCCGGGAGTTAGGGAGTGTTGACTCTGGGCCTCTCCTCTGTGTCATACAGCCGTGACAATGCATCTGCCTTCACGTTCTTCGTACACGGGATGTATGATAGTGTGAAATCAAACCGGGTGAAGAATAAGGCCCACCTGGCCTGGTGAGGATTCAGCCTCCTCGCTGCCCGGATGTACTCCAGGTTACGGTGGTCCGTCCAGATGAGGAAAGGGTGTTTCGCCCCTTCGAGCCAATGCCTCCACATGGTCAGGGCTCGGACAACAGCCAACAGCTCCATATCACCAACGTTGTAGTTGTGCTCCGCCGGGCTGAACTTCTTAGAGAAGAAGGCACAGGGGCGGAGCTTGGGTGGTGTGCCCGAGCGTGTAGATAGGACAGCGCCTATTCCTACCTTGGATGCATCCACCTTCACTACGAACGGTAGTGATGGATCGGGGTGGGCCAGTACCGGGGCTGAGGGGAACATACCACTCAGGTTACTGAAGGCCCTGTCAGACTCAGCAGACCGGCGGAGCCGGGATGGCCCACCCTTCAACAGAGATGTAATGGGAGCTGCAACCTTGCCAAAGCCCCAGATAAACCTCCGACAGTAGTTGGCGAAGCCAAGAAAGCGCTGCACCTCCTTAACTGTGGTTGGAGTCGGCCAATTACGCATGGCTGAAATGCGATCTCCCTCCATCTCCACACTTGAGGTGGTAATGAGGTATCCGAGGAAGGAGACGGACTGTTGGAAAAACAGACACTTTTCTGCCTTGGCCATGAAGGTAATTTTCCAACAGTCGGGCCAGCACTTTGCGAACCAGGGACACAAGCTCGGCGCGCGTAGTAGAATACAGCAGAATGTCATCGATGTAGACCACTACACCGTGACCAAGCATGTCCCGAAACACCTCATTCACAAACGACTGGAAGACGGATGGAGCATTCATCAAACCGTAGGGCATCACCAGGTATTCATAATGGCCTGTGGTTGTGCTGAATGCTGTCTTCCACTCATCCCCCTCTCGGACACGCACCAGGTTTTAGCACTCCGGAGATCTAATTTGGTGAAGAAGCGCGCCCCATGCATTGACTTGATCACTGAAGGAATGAGGGGGAGAGGATAACTAAATCGTATCTTCTCCTTGTTCAGTGATGGATAATAAATGCAAGGGCGCAGACCGCTGTCTTTCTTCTTCACAAAAAATAAACTTGAAGAGGTGGGTGAAGTGGAGGGACGTATATACCCCTGGCGCAGGGACACTGTGACGTATGTTTCCATAGCCTCCATTTCAGCCTGTGACAGGGGATACACATGACTCCTGGGAGGCACAGCGTCTACCCTGAGGTTTATTGCACAATCCTTCGTCCGATGAGGTGGTAACTTGGTTTTCTGTGTTTTGGAAAACGCGTGCACCAAATCGAGGTATTCGGGGGGAATGCGCACGGTGGAGGTACTGTCTGGACTTTCCACCATGGTTGCACCAACGGAAACACAGAGACACCTACCCTGACACTCTCGCGACAACCCTGTGAGAACCCTCTGTGACCATGAGAATATGGGGTTGTAGAGTGCTAACCAAGGGATACCTAGTACCAAAGGGAAAGCAGGATACTCAATAATAAAAAACGTGTCTCGTGGGTAACCATGGTGATTGGTGCAGTAACTTCCCTAACAAACCCGGACCCTAATGGTCGACTGTCAAGTGCTCTGATGGGGAGTGGAATGGATAGGGGAACCAATGAAATGCCTAGACTGTGTGAGAATGCCCTGTCCATAAAGTTCCCAGCTGCGCCTGAATCGACTAGCGCCTTACACTGGGGAACTACAATGTGATCAGGAAAGTGGAGCTGTCGTCCTCCGCTCTCTCGGATCGCGGCTCCACCCAGCTCCATTAGCTCGTGATCCGAGTCGGCTGGGGTGGGAACGGGCAGACCCCCTCCAGGACGTCCTCTGGCCGCCAGCAGGTTGTCCAAATGGATGCCCATGTCCACCAGTTGCGTGAAGGACAACATGGTGTCCCGGCAAGCTAGCTCCCTTCGGATGTCCTCCCGGAGATTGCACCGGAATTGGTCGATAAGGGCCCGCTCGTTCCACCCGGACCCAGCTGCTAGAGTCCAAAACTCCAAGGCAAAGTCCTGCGCAGTCCTCATCCCCTGCCTCGGGTGGACCAGCCGCTCACCCGTCTCTTGACCTTTGGCCGTGTGATCTAAGACAGCCCGAAAGAGGCGAGCGAACTCCCCGTAGTTGTCCAACGTGGCTCCTCCTTCGTTCCAGACCATGTTGGCCCACTCCAGGGCTTTCCCCGAGAGGCAGGAGACGAGGGCGGACACCTTCTCCCGCTCCGATGGGGCCGGCCTGATGCTGGAGAAGTAGAGCTCCAATTGGAGGAGGAATCCTTGGCAGAGAGCAGCTGTCCCGTCAAACTCCCGTGGTCGGGATATATGGATCCCTCTGGGTGCTGGGGTGTGAATGGCTGGATCCGGTTGCCCAGCTGGTCTCGACAGATTGGGTCCTCTCCTCTCCAGGCATTGGACGACCTGGAGAACCCGATCCATCGCTTCTCCCAAGCTGGCTAGCATTGTTGAATGCTCCTGGACCCGTGCCATGACTCCAGGCATGCGCTCCTCTCCCGCTGACTCCATAGTTTGGGTGGGTGATTCTGTGATGCGTGATTTGAAGGATTCAGGCGCAGGAGGGTAAATCACAGTATACAGAGTTGATTCCGTAATCCAGCATAACCAGTCTAGTGCGCAAAACAGGCGCACTGGAACAAACATGCACACGGGGAAAATACCCCGGCAAGACAAAATACTGAGCTCAATATGGAGCGGATATGGAGCGGCAGTGGCTAGAAGGCCGGTGACGACGAACGCCGAAGCCTGCCCGAACAAGGAGGGGAGGCAGCTTCGGAGGAAGTCGTGACAGTATCCTAACATATTTTTTACTTTTTCTTATTTCATTTAACCTTTATTTAACTAGGCAAGTCAGTTAAGAACAAATTCTTATTTACAATGATGGCCTACCAACATCATTACACATCACGGCACAGATTTGGGGTGTTCTCGCTAGAAGCGCTGGTCCTCTTACATTTTTATTCCAGGTTGCACATTTAAATATTTAAGGGCATATCCGATGGTTTGCTCTGCCCATACAGTCACGAGAATGTCTTAAATTGAAGGGAAAAGTGAGATCCGAACACAGTGCAGAAAGAATGCGGCCAACTTGCATGCATTTTAATACCAGGTGTAATTGCAAGTAAATGCGAGGCCAGAGTTCAGAATGTAATGCTGTCTGGATAGGGATAACGCAAGGTGTAAATGGGGTCAGTGTGTACAGTTTCTTATATGTTTTTTGCATACTCAATTGAGAGTGTGTTCCAGGTGTTATGCAGTAGATACTGTAGGTAGATTAGTGGTAGGTCACAGATAGACAATACACTTTCACTTCCACACCTCATCCCTAGGGGCAGTAGCATCCGGGTCCAGGTGCTGTGCCAGACTTGTTGATTGGCACGCCAATGAGTCATTCTAATTAGCATAATAACATCCCCATCAACATCTGTCTGTTTAAGCTAAAGAAATCTGGTTTTGTGCATGGGCTGTGTCTCAATCCACCGCATCCGCCGATGTCGGCCTTCCGCATCTTTGGTGGAATGTGGCAGAGCTACAGCAGTGTTTTCCAGACCATAAGACATCCTGAAAATAGGTAGTCTCACGAAAACGTCTGTTGCGTCTGGACGGTTTGTGCTAAAAACTCGATGGTGTTCTCTGGTTTGCTCTACAACCCCCACAAGCTTCACGGGACTCATCTGAAGTCGGTCCCGCCAATGTGCCAACTTCAGTCTGTAGAGTCCAAACGGTTTGGGCTATCGAAAGCTGAGACACTAATGAACACCTACGAAGGCACTCACAATATATATATATATATATATATATATAAGTTTTGAGTGAGGAAAAGAAGGGTTCAATTCTGGCTTTACTGGCAAAGGGATACAGTGAGCGTCAGGTTGCTTCCATCCTTAAAATTTCAAAGACGGCGGTTCATAAGAACAAGGTCAAGCAGCAGACATTGGGGACAACAAAGCTACAGAACGGCAGAGGGCGAAAACGACTCTCTTCTGACCGGGATGACCGCCAACTCATTCGAATGTCACTCAACAACCGTAGGATGACATCAAATGACCTACAAAAAGAATGGCAAACGGCAGCTGGGGTGAAGTGCACGGCGATGGCAGTTCGAAACAGGCTCCTAGGGGCAGGGCTGAAGTCGTGCAAAGCTAGAAAAAAGCCCTTCATCAATGACAAGCAAAGAAAAGCTAGGCTGAGGTTTGCAAAAGACCATATGGATTGGACCGTAGAGGACTGGAGTAAGGTCATCTTCTCTGATGAGTCCAATTTTCAGGTTTGCCCAACACCTGGTCATCTAATGGTTAGACGGAGACCTGGAGAGGCCTACAAGCCACACGCACTGTGAAATTTGGTGGAGGATCGGTGATGATCTGGGGGTGCTTCAGCAAGGCTGGAATCGGGCAGATTTGTCTTTGTTGGTTTTTCCAGCAGGACAATGCGCCATGCCACACAGCCAGGTCAATCAAGGTGTGGATGGAGGACCACCAGATCAAGACCCTGTCATGGCCAGCCCAATTTCAAGACCTGAACCCCATTGAAAACTTCTGGAATGTGATCAAGAGGAAGATGGATGGTCACAAGCCATCAAACAAAGCCGAGCTGCTTGAATTTTTGCGCCAGGAGTGGCATAAAGCCTTCAACTGCTCTTAAACACTAGTAAAACTAAATGCATGCTTTTCAATCGAACACTGCTAGCACCCGCCCACCCGACTAGAATCACCACTCTCGACGGGTCTGACCTAGAGTATGTGGACAACTACAAATATCTAGGTGTCTGGTTAGACTGTAAACTCAACTTCCAGACTCACATAAAGAATCTCCAATCCAAAGTTAAATCTAGAATCGGCTTCCTATTTCGCAACAAAGCCTCCTTCACTCATGCTGCCAAACATGCCCTCGTAAAACTGACTATCCTACCGATCCTTGACTTCGGCGATGTCATTTACAAAATAGCCTCCAACACTCTACTCAGCAAATTGGATGTAGTCTATCACAGTGCCATCCGTTTTGTCTCCAAAGCCCCATACACTACCCACCACTGTGACCTGTACGCTCTTGTTGGCTGGTCCTCACTACATGTTCGTCGTCAAACCCACTGGCTCCAGGCCATCTATAAATCACTGCTAGGCAAATCCCCGCCTTATCTTAGCTCATTGGTCACCATAGCAGCACCCACCCGTAGTCTGCGCTCCAGCAGGTATATCTCACTGGTCATTCCCAAAGCCAACACCTCCTTTGGCCGCCATTCCTTCCAGTTCTCTGCTGCCAGTGACTGGAACGAATTGCAAAAATCTCTGAAGCTGGAGACTCTTATCTCCCTCAATAACTTTAAGCATCAGTTGTCAGAGCACCTTACCGATCACTGCACCTGTACACAGCCCATCTGAATTTAGCCCACCCAACTACCTCATCCCTATATTGTTATTTAATTTGCTCTTTTGCACCCCAGTATCTCTATTTGCACATAATCTCTTGCACATCTAGCATTCCAGTGTTAATACTATTGTAATTATTCTGCACTATAGCCTATTTATTGCCTTACCTCCATAACTTGCTACATTTGCACACACTGTATATATATTTTCTGTTGTATTTCTGACTTTATGTTTTTTTTTTTTACCCCATATGTAACTCTGTGTTGTTTTTATTGCACTACTTTGCTTTATCTTGGCCAGGTCGCAGTTGTAAATGAGAACCTGTTCTCAACTGGCTTACCTGGTTAAATAAAGGTGAAATAAAAAAATAAATAAAAAAAATAAAGTCACCCAACATCAATGTGAAAGACTGGTGGAGAGCATGCCAAGACGCATGAAAGTTGTGATTGAAAATCAGGGTTATTCCACCAAATATTGATTTCTGAACTCTTCCTAAAACATTAGTATTGTTTTGTTTAAAAATGAACATGAACTTATTTTCTTTGCATTATTCGAGGTCTGACACTGCATATTTTTTTGATATTTTGACCAGTTGTCATTTTCTGCAAATAAATGCTCTAAATGACAATATTTTTATTTGGAATTTGGGAGAAATGTTGTCAGTAGTGTATAGAATAAAACAAAAATGTTATTTTTACCCAAAGGACCCCTAGACATTGCATTGCTAGTGTAGAGTTAAAGTAGGCTGGCTAGGTGGTTTCGTAACACTTAGCTGGCAAATAGAGATACATTATGTATTACACATTTGTTACAGTTTGACATTTTTATTAGGAATGGAAAGAGGAGCTGTGGTCCATCTTCAGAGACAGATCTTATGAGGATGGAAATGATGAAGACCAGGAAAGGGATGACGATGATGATGATGATGAAAATATATCATCTTTGTATGGAAAAGATGGACGTGGGGCAACCTTAGAAGAACTAATGGACAGGAAGCACTTCAGAGAAATTCCAGAGTTCTGTTTATCAGTCAAGAAAATATTTCTATGTGACACAGTAAGTGACAGTATCATGCAAGTTAACCTCCGTGAAGATTGTGTGCTTTTGTTAGGTTCTTTGGTCTTTGTCAAAGTGTTATTTTAAGAAGAAAACGTGTTTTTTTCATCAATGCGTATAATGATGCTTTATTACAATTACAGGCTGAAGAACTCTCTGAAAAGATAACTTGTTACACACGGAGTGACACACAGAGTGAAACATTTAAAAGACAGTATTGGCCGCTTGTGAAGTGTATAACCGTCAAGGTGCCAAACTCCAAAGACCTGCTGGAGCATGTTGTGCTGGTTGACCTTCCAGGCAATAGAGACTGCAACAAGAGCAGAGATGAGATGTGGAAATCGGTAATTATTTACAATTCTTATTGATGATGATTCCATGTTCTGCTTAGAATTGTATTCATGCAACTTCTAATTTGGTTGGTGTTAGATCAACATCATAGGTACAGGGCAAATGGCTGGCTATATCTATGTATTTTAGTTCATTTATATTTATGTACAATTGATTAATAAATACAAATTATATAGGCATAGCTGCGGAAAGTAGTTTGGGATGCAGAAGAAAAAAAATTGCCTGCGCTGAAGACGTCTATATCGGTCCCTAATACAGGACTAGTAAAGGCCCAGTGCACTACTTTTGTGAAAAAATGTTAACTAAATGTATTTAAGTGTTTAACAGCATTTGATAACAAAACAGTTAATCTTATAATACAGGTGGAATATAAAAATACTTGCTTAATATAGCCTATGTTTTCCAGTTTCTTGAAATACGTTGCTAATGCAAACTTATTTCTATGTGAAAACTGAAATTCCTTTCCCATTTTAGTAGACTCTCTTCTCCAGAGCAACTTCCAGTAGTGAGTGCATACATTTTCATACTGGTCCCCTGTGGGTATCGAAACCACAACCCTAGCATTGCAAGCGCCATGCTCTACCAACTGAGCCACATCATCACATCACATCATCACAAACCACTTGATGTCTCAATGTGCTCAATTACTGTATTGTGCATTGTTTTTCTTCATGTTGATGGAAAGTCTACAGGTACAAACCTAGCTGACCAGCCTATGTATAATACAGTAATGTATATTTACATTAAGTGGTTTGTAAGGATGGTACATTAATACTGCACAAAAGGTGGTTGTTTTCTATGTTATTTGAAAAAATATATATATTTAATTTGATGTGGATGCTTTGTGTCTTTGCCTATAACTTTGCACCTTTTGATGTAAATGTTTGAGGACAGGATTTTGTTCATTCTGGATTCCATTAGAATGACAATAGCAGAGAAAGGGACAGGGCAACAACTCTTACAATTCAAACTATAATCCTGCAAGATACTGTTCTTAATTATATAACTACTTTTTTTGCCAAAGCAGAGGTGCTGAAAAAATGTATTAGCCTTTTTTTCTCCAAATATAAGTAATTATTTTTTGAAACCATTTAAAAAGAAAATGCACCCTCAGCACCCCTACTTCCCCTGGCTATGTATGTAGGCCTATGAAAGCTATGTATGTAGGTGTCACGCCCTGGCTCTGGGACTCTGTTATGTTGAGCCAGGGTGTGTTGTTTCTATGTGTTTTGTGTTCTAGGTTGATTATCTAGCTCATGTGTTTCTGTGTTGGCCGGGGTGGTTCTCAATCAGAGGCAACGAGTATCAGCTGTTGCTTGTTGTCTCTGATTGGGAACCATACTTAGGCAGCCTGTTTGCCACAGTGTTTTGTGGGATCTTGTTCTGTGTTGGTTTTGTATTGTAACCAAGGACTTCACGTTATCGTTTTGTTCGTGTGGTGAATCTGAATAAAAGTATGTTCACTTATCACGCTGCGCATTGGTCCACTCTTCAACGATCGTGACAGAAGATCCCACCATAACTGGACCAAGCAGCGTGTCCAGGAGCCAACGCCAGAGGTGAATCTAATGGATGTCCACCTCGACTGGGTCAAGCAGCGTGTCCAGGAGCCAATGCCAGAGGTGACTCTAATGGATGTCAACCTCGACTGGGTCAAGCAGCGTGAGGAGGAGAGAGGTTGGACTTGGGAGCAGAGGATGGAGAGTCTGGAGAGAGCCATGGAGGCCATAGCCACGGGGGAGAGACAAACCCAATACATTTTTAGGGGGGGGCTCACATCGTGGACGACGGGGCTGCTGGAGGCAGATAAGGGGCGAGTTAGTGGACGAGGAGAGAAGGCCACCGGGTTACGGGAGCCATTGGCGAGTAGAGGGAAGGAACATGTAGAGGCACGGCGAGAGGTACTGAGGTGTGTTGCCAGTCCGGTCCGGCCCGTTCCTGATCCCCGGGTAAGGCCAGTGGTGTGTGTTCCCAGTGCGGTCCGGCCTGTTCCTGTCCCTCGCACCAAGCCTGTGATGCGCGTCGCCAGCCCGGTCCGGCCTGTTCCTGCCTCTCGCACCAAGCCTATGGTGCGCGTCGCCAGCCCGGCCCGGCCTGTTCCTGCTCCCCGCACCAAGCCTATGGTGCGCGTCACCAGCCCGGCCCGTTCCTGCTCCCCGCACCAAGCCAATGGTGCGCGTTGCCAGCCCGGCCCGGCCCGGCCTGTTCCTGCTCCCCGCACCAAGCCAATGGTGCGCGTCGCCAGCCCGGCCCGGCCTGTTCCTGCTCCCCACACCAAGCCTGTAGTGCGCTTCGTCAGCCCGATTCGGCCCGTCCCTGCTCCCCGCACCAAGCCTGTAGTGCGCTTCATCAGCCCGGTTCGGCCCGTCCCTGCTCCCCGCACCAAGCCTGTGGTGCGCGTCGTCAGTCCGGCACAGCCCGTGCCTGGGTCACCGGTGCCTGGTCAGGTACCGGTCAGCTGCTCCACATCGGAGCCCAAGCAATCCGCTCCACCGATGTCCAGTCCAGCTCCAGCCAGCGGGGCCAGACCGGACCAGGGGCGCTACGGAGGGTGGTGGTCAAGCCCGGAGCCGGAACCGCCTCCGAGGAGGAATGCCCACCCGGCCCTCCCCTGTTTGGTTTATGTTTGGCGCGGTCGCAGTCCGCGCCTTTGGGGGGGGGGGGGGGGGGGTACTGTCACGCCCTGGCTCTGGGACTCTGTTATGTTGAGCCAGGGTGTGTTGTTTCTATGTGTTTTGTGTTCTAGGTTGATTATCTAGCTCATGTGTTTCTGTGTTGGCCGGGGTGGTTCTCAATCAGAGGCAACGAGTATCAGCTGTTGCTTGTTGTCTCTGATTGGGAACCATATTTAGGCAGCCTGTTTGCCACAGTGTTTTGTGGGATCTTGTTTCGTGTTGGTTTTGTATTGTAACCAAGGACTTCACGTTATCGTTTTGTTGTTTTTTTTCGTGTGGTGAATCTGAATAAAAGTATGTTCACTTATCACGCTGCGCATTGGTCCACTCTCTTCAACGATCGTGACAGTAGGCCTATGAAAGCTATGTTTGATATGAATAATATATTGTGTATATTACACCTTTACTGTTGGAACGTTTTAAGTTAATGTTACACTTCTACAGTTTGTTGGAAACTGCTCTGCTGTGTGGATTATAAGTGGCATTGCATGAGCATCTTCAGAAAAGGAATCATGGGAGATTTTAGACAGCACCGTGAGCCTGTTTGGACCTGGTGGAGAATGTCGATGCATCAGTTTCATCTGCACCAAGACAGACGACATTGAGGAGAATCAAAAGGCTGATGCACGTACCTGTATTTAGCGCAGAAATGAAACAACCAAGAAGCAAGTGGGGGACAAATTCAACAAACAAAAATAAATGAAGGTAAATGATGTCTGACATAAAGGAGTATTCTGTGACTTGTCAACATGCTAATACTCTATGTTGTAGCGGTGAATATTTAGTAATTTCATGGAATTCCATGAGAGCAAAATTACATTGTACCGTAAAGCTTTTCATCAGACATTTTTGTTGTATACAGAACAAACAATTGAGTAATAGGTACATATTTTTATTTATAATAAGTTAAGACAGTTATTCTAATCTGGTATTTATCAGTCATATTCTTCAAAATCTTCAAAATATATTTGATTACTTTAAATTTGTTGAAGCACAACTCCTTGCATGAGCACAATGCACAATGGTTAGACCTTGCAAAATGTCAGTGTGTGGACTTAATTGAATTGGCTGTCATTGTCTCATAAACGCCTTTCAGAAACACTTCAGTGGGGGAAAGGATTTCCTTCAGGTGTTTACTGTGAGTTCCATGGAATACCAAAAGGAAAAGCATTTGCCACAAGAAGAGACCGGTACAATAACTGAACGTGTTTTTGTATTCTAGGACATACACTCTTAGAAAAAACCATACAGGGTTCTTCGGTTTGTCCCCACAGGGAAACTATTTTTGGTGCTGGGTAGAACCCTTTGCAGAGGGTTCTATCTAGACCTCTCTATGTTGGGTTCTTCAAAGAACCCCTGTATATGGTTCTACCTAGAACTCTCTATGAGGGGTTCTGCCTAGAACCCTCTATGAAGGGTTCTGCCTAGAACTCATTTTATCTGTGGAGGGTTCTGTCTAGAACTCATTTTATCTGTGGAGGGTTCTTGCTAGAACCATCTATGAATGGTTCCACCTGCTTTATTAGCCTTATTAGCCTTTAATTGTTATTATTTATAACAACACATGAAATATATCATAAAGCCTTTATTTGAGGGCCTAGTTATACCCTGACACAGTGGTGTTAGGAATCTCCTGGTTTACAGGCCACATCAGGCCTGCAAGTCACATTATGCTGTAGCTCAGTTGGTAGAGCATGGCGCTTGCAATGCAAGGGTTGTGGGTTCGATTCCCACGGGGGGCCAGTATGAAAGATGTATGCACTCACTAATTGTAAGTCGCTCTGGATAAGAGCGTCTGCTAAATGACTAAAATGTCAATTGGATCACTAAAATGCTGGTTTGCAAAGTGATGTATAATTCCTATTGGAATCCAGCCAGAGTTAGGATATCCAACAAGTGGAATTGTTAATCACCCGCAACCTGCATTCAGAATGACTGCCAGGGTAGGGAAGACTGAATACTGAGACTACCTCAATCATCCAAACTGGAACAACCATCTCAGTAACAGGTACAATAAATCCAACAGATTGGATACGTTTAGAAAACTGTATGTTATTTATGTTTGTGTAGCATAAAATGTATCAACAAATCAATGCCACGTTCAGTTATTGATAATGCAAAGAAAACCAGATATTACAGTAAAACAAACAATTCTGAAAATCTCCCTGCAATAGAGCATGCTGGGAAATATTACATATGGTTCTATGTAGAACCCCTTCTTACCTGCCAAAGAATCATTTTGTATTCCATAGAATCATCTAAGAACCCTTTCTTCCAAAAACGGTTCTTAGGATGTTAAAGTTTCTTGGTAGAACCCTTTGCCTTACAAAGAACCATTGTCTTCCAAAAAGGGTTATTATTATCAAACGGTTCTTGGTAGACCCATATCCCGCCGCAAATAACACTTTTGTAACCCTTTTTTCTAAGCATGCAGAGACAGATTACATCTAATTGTGTCCTGTATTTATATACCAATGCTTTCTTTGAGATTCTTTGTGTGTATTGTATTGTATTGTAAACTGCTTTACATAGCAACAAACTTCACCTAAGCAGAATACCTATTTCAAAATTACCTTTAGTATTGATGGGAATGTTTCTGTAAACTATTAGACAAACAAAGTTAATTACACACGGGACGAACATGGAGGCATAATTAAACATTGGTACATCGTTGTTGCTAGGCAAGAACTTAATGAATTCCTCTCACTAGGTTTGTGTGTGTGTGTAAAATGGGCATCTGACCTGTCATTGGGTCAAATTCTACAGTTGTATTATATTATCTGTGACTGCAACCAGACTATGACCCTGTGGCTTTCCTTAGGCATATACCTGGAATGAGCCAGGGTTGAACAGAGTTCAGGCTAAACTCTTTGGCTATCTTCTTGATTGATTACAGCATGACGGGGTAGGTTTGGGGACGTTTGAAAGATTGAGTGTGGACCTGTCATGTCCAACAATCGATCTTCAGGTCAAGCCAGGGTGAGCCGGGGTTGAACAGAGTTTAAACAAACCATGATTATTTGTACATGACAAGGTCTTAATTGATGGTGGTTGGGGAACACAACAGGGAGGGTTTTTTAGTTAAAATGTATGTGTGTATGACTATATAAATGGAGAGCGGAGCGGTAGATCCTCTCGGCTTCCGTTACTCTGTGTAATAAAAGTCTATCTTGATTCTACAAAAACTCTGGAAGAACTTTGATTTTTAAAGTATAGTGATAATTTTCCACATCAGTATCTGTCAAATTAAAACATGCAAAATGTCCTAGTCAAGAACAACTCCAAGTGTAACCTGGACAATATGATAGTCAATAATGCAGGTTCTTGTTTTCTATCAAATATTTTGGGTAATGTGTATACATACAGCATGCTAAGTTACCCTCAACATTTCACTCTATTGTAAGCAGATTCATCTTCTAGGCAAAGAATATCTTGCACTTTTGACGCCTACTAAGTACTGATTATGCCCATGATCAATAATTGAGTTAATCAAACTGAAACAGAAATATGATCAAGTCTTGAATCCAGGATAAATAATAGCATCAAAATAATGCTGACACCAACCAAAGGTAGAAATAAATGTATTGTTTTTAACTGATGTTGCAGAAATACCCAAACTTCACGAATTACTCAAAAATCTCAATGATCGTCGCACAAAGACTTCAGATTATGTTTCTGGAGCCTATGGGATCCTCTCTCTGATACAAGGAGCCAAAAGCAGTGACATGGTATTGTACTTTCAGCAGAACAATAGTATTTATCTCAGTTAACATACCCCTAACATGTGAATCAGTGTATTATATTGATTATGTTGAGTTTGGATTTCAGACAGACAGCAAAGAAGAGGTGTGCCAGGTTCTGGAACAGAGGCTCAAGGAGGAGATCAAGTCCATTGGTCAAACTATGGATGAGGCTTATGAGACTTTTGAACGATGCCTCTCAGAAGGAGTTCAACAGTCAGAAAAATCATGCGAGAAATTAATGAATAAAGTGATAGCACCAGCAAGCTATTTTAAAAATGTTTTAGCAATAGGCACTTTTCCATTGTCACCCTATATCCGTGCTAGCCATTTTGTGCTAGCGCCAGAGAAGCTGAAAATCAAAAAAGACTCAACCAGGACCCCAAAAGAGATTTGATTACTTTTTGTAACTCACATTAGCGTGAGATAGATTCAGACTGAAGTACAGTGCATTCGGAAAGTAATCAGACCCCTTCCCCTTTTCGAAATGTTAGCCTTATTCTAAAATTGATTAAATAAAACATTTTCCTCATCAATCTACACACAATACCTCATTTTTAAAAATGTATAAAAAATAAAAAACAGAAATACCTTATTTACATAAGTATTCAGCCCCTCTGCTATGAGACTCGAAATTGAGGTCAGGTGCATCCTGTTTCCATTCATCTTCCTTGAGATGTTCCTACAATGTGATTGGAGTCCACCTGTGGTAAATTCAATTGATTGGACATGATTTGAAAAGGCACACATCTGTCAACATAAGGTCCCACAGTTGACAGTGCATGTCAGAGCAAAGACCAAGCCATGAGGTCGAAGGAATTGTCTGTAGAGCTCCGAGACAGGATTGTGTCGAGGCACAGATCTGGGGAAGGGTACGAAAACATTTCTGCAGCATTGAAGGTCCCCAAGAACACAGTGGCCTACATCATTCTTAAATGGAAGAAGTTTGGAACCACCAAGACTCTTCCTAGAGCTGGCCGCCCGGCCAAACTGAGCAATCGGGGGAGAAGGGCCTTGGTCAGGGAGGTGACCAAGAACCCAATGATCACTCTGACAGAGCTGACATAGCTCCAGTGTTCCTCTGTGGAAATGGGAGAACCTTCCAGAAGGACAATCAGGCCTTTATGGTAGAGTGGCCAGATGGAAGCCACTCCTCAGTAAAAGGCACATGACAGCCAGCTTGGAGTTTGCCAAAAGGCACCTAAAGACTATCAGACCATTAGAAACAAGATTCTCTGGTCTGATGAAACCAAGATTGAACTCTTTGGCCTGAATACCAAACCGTCACGTCTGGAGGAAACCTGGCACCATCCCTACGGTGAAGCATGGTGGTGGCAGCATCATGCTGTGGGGATGTTTTTCAGCAGCAGGGACTGAGAGACTAGTCAGTATTGAGGGAAAGATGAACGGAGCAAAGTACAGAGAGATCCTTGATGAAAACCTGCTCCAGAGTGCTCAGGACCTCAGACTGGTACGAAGGTTCACCTTCCAACAGGACAATGACCCTAAGCACACAGCCAAGACAATGCAGGAGTGGCATCGGGACAAGTCTCTGAATGTCCTTCAGTGTCCTAGCCAGAGTCTGGACTTGAACCCGATCGAACATCTCTGGAGAGACCTGAGAATAGCTGTGCAGCGAAGCTCCCCATACAACCTGACAGAGCTTGAGAGGATCTGCAGAGAAGAATGGGAGAACTCCCCAAATACAGGTGTGCCAAGCTTTTAGCGTCATACCCATGAAGACTCAAGGTTGTAATCGCTGCCAAAGGTGCTTCAACAAAGTACTGAGTAAAGGGTCTGAATACTTATGTAAATGTGATATTTCAGTTTTTTATTTTTAAAACATTTGCAAACATTTCTAAAAACCAGTTTTTGCTTTGTCATTATGTGGTATTGCATGTAATTGATGAGGGGGGTAAAAACAATTTAATCCATTTTAGAATAAGGCTTTAACATAACAAAATGTTGAAAAAGTCATTGGTCTGAATACGTCACGAATGCATTGTAAATAGGAGAGTAATCTCTCGTGGACAGACGTTCGTAACATAACTGGTATTGGCATTATCTGTCTACAAAGTGTGGGATGCGACATTTAACAAGGAACTTTGTTCCAGTAAGCAGATTTTTTTTCACTCATCAGTTGGACTAATCATGATTTCACAGGTGTTCGCATCTTTCAAATTTTGGATGGGGAGGGGACATTTGGCCCATAGACTTGCCCGTAACTTACAAAGAAAGGGGGGATGGAGCTACCACCCTGCTTCCACTGGTTCAATCTACAACCTGCGCAGGCTCCGAGCAAAGACCAATTCACAAGAACATTACATTTACATTTCATTTACGTCATTTAGCAGACGCTCTTATCCAGAGCGACTTACAAAATGGTGCATTCACCCTATAGCCAGTGGGATAACCACTTTACAATTATTATTATTATTATTATTATTTTTTTTGGGGGGGGGGGGTAGAAGGATTACTTTATCCTATCCCAGGTATTCCTTAAAGAGGTGGGGTTTCAAATGTCTCCGGAAGGTGGTGAGTGACTCCGCTGTCCTGGCGTCGTGAGGGAGCTTGTTCCACCATTGGGGTGCCAGAGCAGCGAACAGTTTTGAATGGGCTGAGCGGGAACTATGCTTCTGCAGAGGAAGGGGAGCCAGCAGGCCAGAGGTGGATGAACGCAATGCCCTCGTTTGGGTGTAGGGACTGATCAGAGCCTGAAGGTACGGAGGTGCCGTTCCCCTCACAGCTCCATAGGCAAGCACCATGGTCTTGTAACAGATGCGAGCTTCAACTGGAAGCCAGTGGAGTGTGCGGAGGAGCGGAGTGACGTGAGAGAACTTGGGAAGGTTGAACACCAGACGGGCAGCGGCATTCTGGATGAGTTGTAGGGGTTTAATGGCACAGGCAGGGAGCCCAGCCAACAGCGAGTTGCAGTAATCCAGACGGGAGATGCCTGGATTAGGACCTGTGCCGCTTCCTGTGTAAGGCAGGGTCGTACTCTCCGAATGTTGTAGAGCATGAACCTGCAGGATCGGGTCACCGCCTTGATGTTAGCGGAGAACGACAGGGTGTTGTCCAGGGTCACGCCAAGGCTCTTCGCACTCTGGGAGGAGGACACAACGGAGTTGTCAACCGTGATGGCGAGATCATGGAACGGGCAGTCCTTCCCCGGGAGGAAGAGCAGCTCCGTCTTGCCAAGGTTCAGCTTGAGGTGGTGATCCGTCATCCATACTGATATGTCTGCCAGACATGCAGAGATGCGATTCGCCACCTGGTTATCAGAAGGGGGAAAGGAGAAGATTAGTTGTGTATCGTCAGCGTAGCAATGATAGGAGAGGCCATGTGAGGATATGACAGAGCCAAGTGACTTGGTGTATAGCGAGAATAGGAGAGGGCCTAGAACTGAGCCCTGGGGGACACCAGTGGTGAGAGCACGTGGTGCGGAGACAGCTTCTCGCCACGCCACTTGGTAGGAGCGACCGGTCAGGTAGGACGCAATCCAAGAGTGAGCCGCGCCGGAGATGCCCAGCTCGGAGAGGGTGGAGAGGAGGATCTGATGGTTCACAGTATCAAAGGCAGCAGACAGGTCTAGAAGGACAAGAGCAGAGGAGAGAGAGTTAGCTTTAGCAGTGCGGAGAGCCTCCGTGACACAGAGAAGAGCAGTCTCAGTTGAATGACCAGTCCTGAAACCTGACTGGTTTGGGTCAAGAAGGTCATTCTGAGAGAGATAGCAAGAGAGTTGGCTAAAGACGGCACGCTCAATAGTTTTGGAAAGAAAAGAAAGAAGGGATACTGGTCTGTAGTTGTTGACATCAGAGGGATCAAGTGTTGGTTTTTTGAGAAGGGGTGCAACTCTCGCTCTCTTGAAGACGGAAGGGACATAGCCAGCGGTCAAGGATGAGTTGATCAGCGAGGTGAGGTAGGGGAGAAGGTCACCGGAGATGGTCTGGAGAAGAGAGGAGGGGATGGGGTCAAGCGGGCAGGTTGTTGGGCGGCCTGCAGTCACAAGTCGCGAGATTTTATCTGGAGAGAGAGGGGAGAAAGAAGTCAAAGCAACATCTTGTCCATAAGGCCCTCTTTGCTGACAATTGTGCCTCAGCGAATCTCCCTCAACACATCTGAGCTCTGGAATGTCGAACACTTCACATACCTGGGGAGCACCATCTCTGAGGACGGCTCACTCGACCAAGAAATAACAAGCATAATCCTGCCCAAGCCAGTCATTGGGAAGACTGAGGAACAGGATATTCAACCATCACACCATCCCTTGTTCCACAATACTGAACATGGTAGCCATCACAACCCTGCTGTATGGCTGTGAAACTTGGACCCTGAACAGTCACCACATCAAACAGCTGGAAACATTCCATACACAATCTCTGAGCTCTATTATGGGTATCCGTTGGCAAGACAAGGTTTTCAAACTGGAGGTAATGCAGAGAGCAAACTGCATAAAGGCACAGCTCCTATTGACTGGCCACACCATCAGGATGCCCCAACACCGTCTCCCTAGAAGGATTTTCTTTGGCGAGCTGCAGCAGGAGCATTGAAAGACAGGCCAGCGCAAAAAACTGTTTCAAAGACAACCAGCAATAGGCAACTTTGAGCGGGAAAGAAACAACCATCTAACTGAAGCCAGAGAAAAGCGTCATTACTGCACCACCGGGCCAACAACACCAACAGAATAACTTGTCTGTCCCTCATGTCTCAGTTGTTGGCAATGACACAGGTCAAACGTTTTCTGTAAGTCTTCACAAGGTTTTCACACACTGTTATTGGTATTATGGCCCATTCCTCCATGCAGATCTCCTCTAGAGCAGTGATGTTTTGGGGCTGTTGCTGGGCAACACGGACTTTCAACTCCCTCCAAAGATTTTCTATGGGGTTGAGATCTGGAGACTGGCTAGGCCACTCCAGGACCTTGAAATGCTTCTTACGAAGCCACTCCTTCGTTGTCCGGGTGGTGTGTTTGGGATCATTGTCACGCTGAAAGACACAGCCACGTTTCATCTTCAATGCCCTTGCTGATGGAAGGAGGTTTTCACTCAAAATCTCACGATACATGGCCCCATTCATTCTTTCCTTTACACGGATCAGTCGTCCTGGTCCCTTTGCAGAAAAACAGACCCAAAGCATGATGTTTCCACCCCCATGCTTCACAGTAGGTATGGTGTTCTTTGGATGCAACTCAGCATTCTTTGTCCTCCAAACACGACGAGTTTAGTTTTTACCAAAAAGTTCTATTTTGGT